ATATATAGCAAACCATGATTTGATTTCTCATCAAACAGTAGTAGTTTATAACGGGTAAAAATAACTTACTCTTTGTTATGAGAGTAGCTCGTAGGCCACAACGGAAAGACAAGGAGACATACACGAGTTTACAAAACCACGGCACATTTATTGTGGTAAATGCAGAGACAGGTGGTCGAGGGGAGAGGGTCGCTCAGTTCGTCCTTCTGCAGCCGCTTTGGAGAGAGACTCCGGGCCGCTGGGATTAATAGCACCGGCTACGGAGGTGTCCGTGATCGCGCTGATTACCCTCTTCAGCTCCACCCCACCGTAAGACAAAGGCCCTGAGGCCGTCACACTCTTCTATAACAACAGTTAAAAATATATATGTATATAAAATATACCGCTGTACCGACGCCATGATAAGACTGATGTTACGCTGAGAGCAGCCGGGAAAAGCACTGACATGGGCGCAGCCTCTCTGGTGGTTGACTAATCAGAACGAGTGGCCGAGCTGACCAATCGGAGCACACTAGGCTCACAGGGAGGGGGGGGCAAGAGCTCCAACGAGTCGTTTAGTGGAGAAAGTGAATACTGCTGAATACACATGCTTGACAGAGATGCTGTATGCGAAACCAATGTGAGTTTGGAAAATTGCACAGTATAAATCTATTTTAGTATACCTCAACAATGTAATTATGATCAGTGGAAATGGCCATGACATGGGCCCTTTAAAATAGCTTGGAGGTTGAGGATTGATAAATACTATTCACAGTACTTTTACTGTGTACTCTGTCAAACTCCCCTCTTGAGTACAATAATGCATGTTTTCTGCTATCTTTGATGAGAGATAGAATGATGTTCTGCCATAAATTCTTAATGAGAGTGATACTGTTTGACTCAGTATACTAATTTAACTACACCAACAAGTACTTTTTCAGGTATTCTTTTTCAAATTCCCCTCCTTAGTACAAGAATGCATCTTAAATAAAAATGTGTCATTAGACTTATATTGTTGGACAGAGTATTTTAAGAGGATATGGTAGACATGATATCAGCACTACTTCCAGTCAGTACTCCAGCAGCAGCTTTTAGCCCTTGGGAAATCTTCAGAGAATATCCTGCATAGCTGGTCTATCCTTCAGCAAAGTGACACACCCTGTCACTCTTGTTGGCCTCTTATGATGATGCTGTCTTAACCTTTAGCAGCCAGCGCCACCATTTGGTAGAGCACATTTTGTGTTTTGATATCTTGTTGAAAAATAAATAAAAAAGTGTAACTCCATCTGATTCAGCCAGCTCTATCGTTTTGGTTGACATGTTATGCACAAAACAACCTCTAGATGTCACTGTGGTTCGAACAGAATGCCCTTCAGCTAGCTTCCACTGAGAAAGTTGGCATGCTAAAAATCACTCCTGAAGAAATCACTCTTTTTGGTCAACTTTTGTAAGGTAACCATATCATTTTTGACATATCTTAGTGTCAGAGCACTGACTGAACATTATTATATAACTTGATGCACAAAACATTTTTGTAACAAGGGTGTAATTATTTTTTTGAAAATATGCTCAACCAACCGGTCGAATTGGCCTTCATATTGTAAACTAGCAATACGACTTTTTCAGAGTTTCAGAGATGTTTTCCAATAAAATATGGTAAATAAATGGCTAGATTCATGGTAATATTACTAAATCTAGTGCTGCCTTATGAGTCTCAGAGTGAAAGAGTGATACTAATTTATATAGCACCTTTCATGCATGAAATGCAGCCCAAAGTTGCACACAGATGAGCAAGTTAGGCCAACACAGGATATAGACATTTGCTGTTAGGCCAGTTGTTTGTTGTTAGGCCAAACTTTTTATAATGAAAAACACTTTCCATTACTTTTTTCCATTTCTTTTTTGTTTTACAATTATAATTTATAATTTTTTATGAATATATCTGGTTGTATATATTGCTTGTGTTTGTGTTTTTGAGTTTGATGTATACAAATACTGTACTATATGATGATTGTTGAAAATGCACTTTTGCCAAGGCCAGCTCGACCAGTTGGTAGAGGCTCATAAAAACAAAACTGTGTGGTCAGTAAAAAAAATAAAAATTGTTTGTGGTTATTTGTCCTATTTGATAACAAAATGCAAAGAAATCATTTGTCCATAGATTTCTTCTTGGTCTGGCAATTAAAGGGTTAAAATATGATTATTTCTCTGCCCCTAGTTCGTTCCTCGCAGATTCTTCAGTCTCATCAGCCTCATCTTTCCATCTGTCCCAGTCAACGCATCAGCCTCCAGCACACTTTCAGTGTCTGACTCCATAGAGATATTGTCCTGATGCTGTACAAGGGTGATGCCCCATGATCAAAAAATGACCCTGCCACTGACCTCTACATGTCACTTGTTAGTTGCTTTTACCTTAAAGCGACTTACATACACTCAATACTGTAGACAATCCTCACAGGAGCTATTTGGGGTGAAGCCCAGGGACACAACGACATGCTGACTGCAGTGGGGATTGAACCAGTGCCCCCCCTGATCCGAAGATCAACGCACGATCAGCCACAGCCTATTAGCCATATTATGTCTCTCATTAATGTTACATCACCCCTTATAACGATTTTCTTTCCTTTATTCTCTTTTCTCTTCTCTTTACTGAATTAAAAAGTCCAGTCTTTAAGTAATATTTGAAGTCCTTTTCCTGCACCTTTTTAAGGCGATGTTTGCAATATGTATTCAAAGGTCACTTATTTAAATAAATAAATATCTGAGGTTAGCAAACAGATACTGCCTTTATCTAGAGAGCCAATGACACCCATGAAGAATTGATCCTCCTGCTAATCTTTTCATCTGCTGTATTAATACAATTGCCATGTGTTTTCAAATTGAAAATAAGGCACCAGAACATTATACAAAAAATATATATATTTTAAAAGGAACCTGTAAGGCTTAATCAATGTTATATATAGATCTTTATATAATATCAATATTATAATAAACTTCAACCAAAGTCAATTTCAGGAGTGGTGTTTGACACAGTTTACGTTCAATTTCAACTATTTTAGTCTTATATTGACTCAACCTTTTTAAATAATTTACTTTCATTTAGAAAAGGTTTTTCTAAGAAAAATGTACAAAAAAATTGAAAGATACAAGTTGAATAGGACGATGTGGATCTATTTTCTCTCACCTTGTAATTACACAATCAAAGAATCTATAATACGGCTTTGGACTTCACTCACCAAAAAACATTTGTTTTTATGTTTTGCATTTGTACTATTTTGTAGTCAATTTGGACAAATATCTGTCGAACTAAAAATATTCTATGATTGCATAATGGTGTGAATATGTATACCCTGCCCACTCAGTATTATTTTAGGTACAATTTATATTTTAAATGTAATGAAAAAGCCAACTCAATAGTGTGTTAAAAATAGACTTTAGGATATTGTAAAACAAAAAACTGCTATATAATGTATTCTTAACCCTCCTTTATCTTCACATTTGCTTTACACCCTCTATCCTTGGTGGTCATTTTGACCCCAGGAGTTTAAAGCTCAAGAAAATGATCATATTCAAAATTGTTACCAAAATGTACGTTTCAAGTACTTTATGTTTCTTAGTTGACTATCTAAATATCCATTTAACTAAAACACTACTAGCCATTTTCATTACATTAGCAGCACTAAACGTACCCTGTTTTTCACGTGGGGAGCGGAACCAAGATAACTTTCCATTTTTGGAAAGTAATGTTTCTGCTTGTGTTTGACAGACAACAGGAGCATCTGCATGGGGTATTCAGGGTGGACAATTTGACAGAGGATTTCTCTGAAAGTACAAAATAAAAGTATTTTATAGTCTTTGCGCTAGTAGTCACTACTGAGTCCAAAATGATCAGTCTTCGAACTTAAAAGTATTTGTATTGCTCGTCACATATAGCAGCAAGACAGGCATTGTTGTACCATGGAGGGTACTTTGACAGGAGAGTATCAAGAAGTACACAGTAAAAGTATTTCATAGTATTTGGGATAGTTGTAACTACAACTGATTCTAACTTCATCAGTCTTATGAAAAATGTATGGCCAAAAATAATGTTATCGCTTGTCATTTTTGCACTGTGTAAAGGCAAAGAGTTAGAACCTTTATTTTGAAGAGTACAGCGCAAGCATAGGGCAAACTAGCCAATCAGAAGCAAGGAGGCACTGGAGTCCCACCCACCTATGGAAACGAAACATTGAGTGGTATACTTGTTTTAACAGTAAGAAACAGAAAAACGAAAAAACGAGCTGAATTTCCATTTTTTCGTTTTGGGGCAAAATTGAAAAACAAAAAAACGACCCGTTTCTGCTTTTTTTTTTGTTTCAATTAGAACTAAAAAACAAACGGTTAAAACGTACCTTGGTCGTTTTGGGGTATTCACAGTTCAGCTACCAATAGCAAGGTGATATTGACCTGTACGTTTCATATTTGCACATTTATATATTTGTAAAATGTGTACTGAAGGTTAGACAGGAAACCGGGTACAGGAAGTAGGAGAATGTGAACTGAATAGCATGGCAGTAGACATCCATGAGTAGACTGCTACTAATTTTCCCTTTGCAACCTGAAGAGTAAAAGGTCAAGTCCGTCAGAAAGCAATGACTGTAAGTGTAAGTGTAAGCCTTACACCTCTCTTAAGTGGTTACATTGGAATAAAACAGATATTTCAACGTGTGCCTACTTTGTTCATGTACTGTTGAGGTTAATTTCAATAGTTGTGTGCTATAATGTATTTACAAAGTGTGAAGAGGAGGCAACTTTAGAATAGGGAACCTGTTCAGGTCAATTAGAGTCAAATTACTAGTTTATTGGTTATGAACAAGACTTCACTTTAGGATAGGGAACATGTTCTTAGATAGAAATACCTAATTTTGAGTTAATTAGACACAATTAACACTTGTAGTTTCATGTCTTGTTACATAAGAATAGATCATATTTGTTAAGTGTTATTATGGGAGAATAACTATTCTTGTGTTAATGCTGCCTTATTAGGGCAGCACGCCTCCCTGGGCGATGGTCACTCCTCCCAGCAGCTTGTTCAGCTCCTCGTCGTTGCGGACGGCGAGCTGCAGGTGGCGGGGGATGATACGGGACTTCTTGTTGTCCCGGGCGGCGTTTCCAGCCAGCTCCAGGATCTCATCGGTCAGGTACTCCAGCACAGCGGCCAGGTACACCGGGGCTCCGGCACCGACACGGTGGGCGTAGTTACCCTTCCTCAGATGCCTGTGGACACGGCCGACGGGGAACTGGAGCCCGGCCCGGGAGGAGCGGGTCTAAAGGCCCCTACACACCAGGCCGATATCGGCCGTCTTGCGTTGTTTGGCGACAACGGGTTCCTTGTCGCCCAAAGTCAATTTGGTGTGTCCCGAACCCTCGGCCGTGACACGCCTTATTTGGCCTTTCACGGTCGACACCCGGCCGATTCAACATGTTGAATCGGCCGGGTGTCGGACACAAGCTATCGGGCCAAGAAACCACTCTGATCAGCTGTTCAGCTAGCAAATGAGAAGCGAAACGGAAGTGAGGGACGTAAACAAACGATTTAAGGCACAGGACAGCAGCTAAACACCAGCAGGTGATACTTAAAGACATTAAACATAGCCCTTAAATGTCCTCTCTTACCTCCCACACATAGCAGGGACATCTCTGATATCGGCGGGAGCGTCCCCGGCTGTCCTCTGCTGAGAGCTCCGTGATTTGTTTGGTCAAGTCCGGTTTTTCATCTCATCGTAAATTTAGCAAGAAGTGGCCATTATTACATTGCTGACTCAATAAACTACACACCCGCCAGAACACTGCGATCATCAGATGCAGGTCTATTAACTGTGATTTTATAGTATGTCTGCACTTTATGTGCTCATTTCATCATTCATGTATTTTTATATTCTAAAACATGTTTTCGATGGACGAGAGTGAAAATGGAACGCACATGCTATTTGTTTGTTTATATCAGTCTGTTCTTCTTCTCTGTCTTCCGGTTGTTGCCTATTTTGAATGACGAATACACACTACCGCCGCCTGCTGGTAAGGAGAGTTATTGCCACTCACGCATGCGCAGTTCGTACGTGCTCGGCTGAAGTCTTTGCGGTGATTTCAGTGCGACACACGGCCAAGACGCAGGAGAACTCGTCGATGGAACTGTCGGTGTCGGGTGTCGGCGAGTTCTCTGGTGACTGCCTGGTGTGTCAGGGCCTTTAGCCTTGGCTCGGGCCTTCATGAAAAGGTGGATAAGGATGTCACAGACTGAGTGTTATATCATTATATATAATATCACTTATTAGTACTACTTGTACTACATGTAAGAGCAGGATGTTATGAAACAGTTTACTTCTGATTCATTCTTGTTTAATTGATTTGTTACCTCTTGAAAATCTCTTTCCACATTGTTGTGCGATACATTCCTCGTTGAGATTATTACTGATACTGCCTGCTTCTTAGTTATTCCATCTTTGGCTGGGACAAGAATCTGTATCTAACTCTATGTTTACTTGTTATCTCCCACACTTCCTTCTACATGTTACACTCATTTCATAAAGAAGGAGATAGGGAAGGGGTTAGTGGTGGTCTAATGGATAGTGAGGTGGGCTGAAGATTGGAAGGTTGTGAGTTCAAATCCCGCCAGGAACACCACCACTAGTGTGCCCTTGAGTAAGGCACTTAGTCCTTAGTTAGTCCGGGGAGAATGTCCCTGTAATTGGTAATTGTAAGTCGCTTTGGCGTCAGCTAAATGTAATGTAAGATAAAATGGACCTTTATTCATCCCTGTGTGGAGCAGAAACAGAGTGAGAGTGAAACACAGGACAGTACAGATTCACAAGGATAGAAAATGATACACAAATAAAATAATATAGTAACTGTTAAGATATTTACATATTTGGGTTTGGATTGTTAGATATATTTACATGTAAGTGGGCAGGTCTTTGTACAAACAGTACAGTTACTGTCACTGGGTTACAGGTTTGGCCCCTGGCTGTTCACCCTGATGGCTCCAGGCACAGAGGACTGTCCGAGGACGGATGAGTCTGAGGGTGGACGTACTCCTCATATTCATATCCAGCTGAATGTATACCTGTTTTCTTTATCAGGTTTTATTTTAAAATTGTAGTGCTGTATTTTATAGTGTACCTTTCCTGTTTGGGACAAATAAAGGAATTGTGATGTACCCCAAAGCTGTTTGTCATTTTCAATTTCTTTGACGATATTTAAAAAAATAAATGTGTCACTAGGTGTTTATAAAGTCTAAACATATCTGAAATATTTTGATATATTTTTTTCAAAACAATGTAAATGTTATTTGCATTATATCATGATGTATGCGCTTTTGTCTTCCTCTGATTTGTCGCTTACAAAATATCAATTAATAAATAGCACAACTTCCACTCTTATTCACATGTTTTAACAGATGAAACATTCAGGAGAGAGCTCTGGAGGACATGTGGTGGCTCTGAAAAGAGCCTTCTGATGAGGAGCTAACGTTTACTTCTTCGCTGGTTTTGCAGCTTTGGCTTTAACCACCTTCTTCACAGCTTTCGTGGGAGTCACTGCCTTCTTGGGGGTCACAGCTTTCTTGGGGGAGGCTGCCTTCTTGACCACCTTCTTCTTCGGGCTCTTTGTGGCCTTCTTCACGGGGGTTTTCTTAGCAACTGCAGTGGGACTCGAACTTGGTACCCCCTGATTCGAAGTCCAGCACTCTATCCACTGAGCCACATATATGTAGAGAGTAAGTGTTCGGTTAGAAACCTGAAATAAAATCAGACAGCTCTTATGATTACATCTGGATGAAATAGAGGTTATTGTGGTATCTGCAAACACACTCATGTTTGGATAAGACTGACAGATGATCACTAGAGACCAAATATTAGCCTTTATCTGTTTTAAAGGAAAGACACTCATTATTTAAATTACAAACTAAAACGAACATGGTGTAATTTAAATAGTCAATATTCCCAGTTTTAATACAAACTTATAACTGTGACAAAGTTCTGTTTCAAGGTAATACAATATGATAGAAATCACCAATAATACTTACAGGTGTTTTGTACATTTTTAATGATCAGGAAGTCTTCATTATATTCTTCATCATAACAATTGTTCATTATGAGATTGATGTCATATTCTTTAGGAACATAGTTGACTCTGTTGTGAAATGAATGTAAAAGTTGCCTTCTTATTTGACTGATGCATCAAACCTCTTGGTGGTAGAACTATTGAACTACAGCCAAATACAGTCAAGTAATCCATAATGATCCGTTTGGTCACTTTGCCTCAATCACAATGTTATGAACTTTTTTTATTGGCATAGTAACAAACTATATTATGGCCTTTTATTATTTTAGTATCGTTCTTACCTTTACATGAATGGAAGTTGATATGAAATGTTCTGTTGTCAGATTGTTATAGGAATGGTTCTTGATTACCTTCACAATAATAATATATGAGTTAATAAGGATAAACCAACCAAATGAAAGGTTGGACTAAACTCCAACTCACCCTTTAAATCTCTATCCCACTGTTTTTCAGTAGGATGGAAAGTTCCTATCTATAAACTATTATTAGTTTTTTCTCAAAACAGATTAGATTTTCTGAAGTGAATTGAACTTTGTTCCATGTAAGGTCATTATTAAAAGGTGATATTCATTTGTTTAGGGTTGACTAAAATAATGAGAAACATTTAATTTGGATAATTTAGTGACAGAATAAGAAACTCAATGCTGCTCTACTCACCTGTTCCATAGTTTCTATAAAGTGAAACAGTTGTAACGATATATTTTAGTAAACTTAAACAACCTTCCCCAAAAGCTATTAGGGAATATTCCTATTACTTATGTTTCAGAACTGCATTACATGGTTATATAAATAGTTTGAATGATTCATGACTGACATTAGCTTGTGTTTACACTGACCTGTTACTCATATATTAATGTCTTTGTAACTTCAGTAAACCTCAACAATTTCCCTTGTTTCATTCATCACGGTTCAGTAAACTAAGTAAAATATGAACCAGTGTAATCATTATAATAACGTAGGATTGTAACTCTTTAAAAAAGGTTTAGTGGCTCTTAAAAGAGCCGTTGTGTTTGGGTGTCCTGGGGCCTCATTTATAAAGGGATATACGCTCAAAAAATGGCATACGCCAGTTTCTACGCAATGTTTGCGATTTATAAAATACTAACTTGACGGGAAAATGTGCTGTCCTCCACGCAAACTCTAACCCATGCATACGCACTAAGCACACAAACGGGAGAGACGAGAAACTGCGACACCGTTGGCAGAAGGAAGAATGGAGAGAAATATGTGGAAATAATACCATAAATAAAATGTTACCTCTCATTTATCAAATATGAAGAATTCATTTTCAAACATTGATTAAAGCCAATCTTTAAATGATTAAACAAACGCCTGTTTGAGACTCCTCAGTGCACACAAAAACATAACTTGGAGAAATAAATAAATACGGATATGCTATTTAAAACCACCTCGAATATGTTGTGTTATGAAATGTTTTCTCATAAATGATGCGGTAAGCAGGAGGACAGAATTACGTCTAAACTGACGCCGTTTTGCATTTCTATAGGTTGTAGATACGAGCATCGTTTTATATACTATCACGTTTAATCGTGTTTTATGCCGTTTGCCAAGACTTGATAAGTCGTTCGTAAAACACAGGAGGTATGGAAACTACGAACACCATATGTTGTAAATTGTACAGCTAATATAACACAACACATTAGTTGTATTTCCTTTAACTGGTGGATTATGGATATATAGTTGCTGATCGACAGCTGGAACACAAACCACCACATACAACAAAAATAATTCAGATCCAGTCGTCATGACTACACTCCGGAGGGATTCCCCGATCATTTCTTACAGTTTCTCATCAAGGGGGTGTCTCCTGTCCCCGGGACAAACACACTGCCCGAGGAAGGTTATGTGTATTTTTTTTGTCATTAACTTTTTTCGGACCACTTATTTATTTATTTTGGTGACAATCCGACCTCCATGCTGCTACTCTGGTTCAAACTGCATCCACCAAACAATATGATTTATCTCGACCTCCCCACAATAACCAAAATCTGACATGGTGTGAGATGTCTTTTTTAGCTGTTCTATCGTAATTTCCTGCGATCTTCTTCATGCAGTCAGTCAAAATGAATGAATGAATGGGCGTTTCTTTGACTATTTATAGGCAAATATGGGCGTTACGAGTCGATTGTGATTTATCAAGGGAAACAGGCGTAGGGAGTGCCGTACGCACTTCCCTCGCCGGTACGCAATGTTTTGTGAATCGGAAAATGGCGGAAAATTTATGTACCTATTTTTGTGCTTTGTACTACGTAAGCAACCTTCCTACGTCAATCCTACGCAAGGCGTTATAAATGAGGCCCCTGGTCTCAGGCGCCGTTTACACGAGGAGAAAACTGCTTGTATCTGCATAGTTTCGCGTGGGGGTTCTTGAATGAAATAATATTATAAAAGGCAAACCAGAATTGTTAACGCCCAATATACTCCTTAAACAAAATAAACAGAGTCAGATTTCATGCATTGATCCATTATATTGACAATTTTCCAGCCAAACAACACAAACAAAATTAAAAAGTCCGCTCTGCGATACACCAAACTTGTCTTTACTGCCTAATCCAGGCCATTATTGTTCATTGCTCCTGCGCCTGTTTGTAGGCAGAGGACCGGCGTGTCCCAGAGGAGCGATCTCACCCGGTGTTTGTAGAGAATATCTCTCTTTCTGAGCGCGTCCTCTCCACGGAGACGTGCTTCTTGGGCGGTCGATGCAATATCCACAGATTCGGTTTCTTTCAGTTAACTTCCCCGTTGCATTTATCCATATGCTGTGGAAATTACTATATCCCGCTGAATACCAGCAATCGCCACACACACTTCCTCCTGTCAGTAGCTACTGCTAGTGCTACTGCTACTGACCATGCTACAGATATTAGTGCAAAATCTACAGCTCCTCTACCACAACCATCAGCAACAAGTGGACATGGAGAATTACATGAACTACATGTTGCTAAATACACCGCGGGGCATAAACAGAAGGGTAGCCATGGCAACATTGCTGCGGGGCTGCTCCAGGCTGCTCTTCTTCGCTGCTTTTGGTGTATTTTGGCGGAAGTTACAGCGCCACTTACAGTCCCGGCATATGTACTACAGCATTTCCAGCGGTCTCGTTTGAACAGACACGTTAAATGAAACGAATGCATGTGAACGGAAGACTTTTTTGAATACGCATACTGTGCATAAACGCAAACGTTCCCGTGTGAAGGAGGCCTCAGTCACTAAGCCCTCTCCGGGCTGCGGCGGGCCAGCTGGATGTCCTTGGGCATGATGGTGACCCTCTTGGCGTGGATGGCGCACAGGTTGGTGTCCTCGAACAGGCCGACCAGGTAGGCCTCGCTGGACTCCTGCAGAGCCATGACGGCGGAGCTCTGGAAGCGAAGGTCGGTCTTGAAGTCCTGAGCGATCTCCCTCACCAGGCGCTGGAAGGGCAGCTTGCGGATCAGCAGCTCGGTGGACTTCTGGTAGCGGCGGATCTCCCTCAGAGCCACGGTACCGGGCCTGTAACGGTGAGGTTTCTTCACGCCGCCGGTGGCCGGGGCGCTCTTACGGGCAGCCTTGGTGGCCAGCTGCTTCCTGGGAGCCTTTCCTCCGGTGGATTTACGGGCGGTCTGCTTGGTTCTGGCCATTGTAGTTTCTCAATGTTCACAGCGAGAGGAGGAGTGCTGTGTCTGTGAGCAGCGGATTTATGAAGGAGCTGCCCGAGCTGCCGGAGCTGCCGGAGCAGGCCGGGAGACACGTGCGCTGTAGCTGCTTTACTATTGGACAAAGTAAACCACTCCTCCACAGGGGATGATCCGGGGACTCTCGAAAATAAACGTTGGTTTTGTTTATGATTTTGTATAATAAAACCTTAGGTTTGTTTAGTTGAGCTGAGCAAAAATGAATTGTCCCTTTCTAAAGTATAACTATGATTCTATTTTTGTGAAAAAAATTGAGAATTTAGTCAACTCCCAAACGTTAAATATGAGAATTAACGTTTGGGATCCAAAAATAAATCATTAATTGATCATGTAGTGTTGCAGAAACAGTCTTTAAATTGCACCACCTTTCAGTGTGAAAGCAAGACATTAATCATGGACTTCTGCAGTAAAATTAGAACCCTTTATAAAAGTATGAGTTTATTTGTATTAGTGATGGGAATTATGGCTCTTTGAAGGGAGCCGGATCTTATGGCTCCGTTCCTTTCAAAGAGCCGTTCAAAAGAGCCGTTCAAAAGAGCCGTTTTTTTAAGGTTACTAGGTTTATCTGCAAAATAATCACCAGGATAATGATTGACTGTATTGCCAGACCTAATGTCAATAATCGGCATTGTAAACATGACACAAGGTGGCGCCATATCCATGTCATCATGTCAGTGAATGTACTTTGAATTTACCCTCTGTATGTGTTAAGTAAATAAAGTTGCCTTGCCTTGAATGAAATTCATGCAACTCTTAATATTAGATACTGTGTTTTTAAGTGGCGATGGAGATTATTTGTTGATCCTGCTTTAAAGGATATTTTGCCTTTACAAATGGTGCGCTTTATCACTGCCTGGGTTTTGGTTGAAGTGAATCCAAATGCTGCTGCGTTTTCGCGTTTGGCTCATTTACCATCCGAAAAACACGTTGTCTACCTGTCCTGTACCACTTGTTATGACTTCTCTCTCTCGCGTATTCCGTTAAGACCCACCCCATCTCACTCCTCGTGCTGAAACCTACCAAACAGAGTAGGGGCGGATCTTCACAGAATACGTTTGGGGAACAAAATCAAGCTTTTTAAAAGGCGAGTGGATTTTGGCAGGCAGTGAGTGCGGACCAACGATTGAACGATAACAAGAACGGCTCTCACAAAGTAGGACTCGGTTCCCCTCGTTCGTACCAAAGAGCCGTTCAAAAGAATCGGCTCGTTCGCGACCGACACATCACTAATTTGTATTATTTATTTCAAACAAGCAAAGCATTTTGTGTTTTTGACATTACTAAATGGTGAAGTGTTCTCTTCTTAAACACAATCACTTTGTATTACCTGTATCAATCATTCAGAGTGAATGCTTTAAATGTCAGCAAGAAACACAATTTGAATTGTTGCTTGAGTTCTTGAGTTTGTGGTGGCAGAGGCACGACATGTAATATAAATGTGTCCATTTACTATCGCTAAATATAACAGGATAAGCTCTTTGGATGGGTTTGGTGGCTCTTAAAAGAGCCGTTGTTTGCGGTGTGTCGGGTTTACTTGGAGCTCGTGTACTTGGTCACGGCCTTGGTGCCCTCAGACACGGCGTGCTTGGCCAGCTCTCCGGGGAGCAGCAGGCGGACGGCGGTCTGGATCTCCCTGGAGGTGATGGTGCGGCGCTTGTTGTAGTGAGCCAAACGGGAGGCCTCCCCGGCGATGCGCTCAAAGATGTCGCTCACGAAGCAGTTCATGATGCCCATGGCCTTAGAGGAGATACCGGTGTCGGGGTGCACCTGCTTCATCACTTTGTACACGTAGATGGCGTAGCTCTCCTTCCTGGACTTTCTCCTCTTCTTGCCGGTCTTGCTGGCGGTCTTAGCGACGGCTTTCTTGGAGCCCTTCTTGGCCGCTTTCACGGGGGGTGCGTCTGCAGGCATGATTACAGGTCGAGGTCTGATAGAGCTGATGACTGCGCCGGGCAGAGCGGTATATTTATAGCC